GTCATCGCCGAACGAGCGAGATCTCCCCCCTCCCTCTCTCTCTCTCTCTCTCTTTCTCTTTTTCTCCTCACTTCTCCCTCTCTCTCTCGCATTGTTTATTCCAAACTGCTGCTCGTAGATGGGATATTAAAGATATTCAAACACATGATAGACTTCCCTTTCGTAACTGCATGTCTTGTCTCTCTGCTTTCTCTCTCTCGTGCTGAACACTTTGCGTTTGAAAAGGTACACGTGAGCCATGACGAAAGTTTCTTTACGAGCGGTCACGTCAATCGTAATGAACGCTATTTATTTATGTTATGACCCGTATACGTTACGATCCGTTTTCCTTCGCCATGTAAATATGTATATGCGAAAAGTGAAAATCGCCAGGCCGATATCGGAAAAATCGACATCTGCCCCGAAAGCACAAACTTTTCAACGCGCGTTTCATGGACCAGATAATGCGAACTACTTGTTCCTTTTATTCGTAGTAAACTCTTTTCCATTATTTCATTACTTCATTCATATATATGTACATATATATAATTTACATACATTATACATATAATTTATATATTTTATATATATAATAATTTATATATATAAAATTGTATATATAAATTATTAGTATAACGTTGTTCATGTTACGTTGTTATATATACTTATACATATAAATTATTAATGTAATTGTGTTGTTTGTGTTACGTTATTACATCAGCAATTTTTATATGTATTCTGTGAAAGACAAGGAAAAAGTTGTACTTTTTTTTATTTGTGTATGCATATGTAATTGGAAATGCGTTCTCGATGTTTCTCTTCAAGACGTGATGAATAAAAAGAATAAGAATTCCCTGCGGGCCTTTCTAAAAAATAAAATCATTAGTTTATTCCAGAAAATGATATTTAATGTGTAATTTATTACATACATTAAATATTGATACTTATAGATATTTATAAAAGTAATGATAACTCGGATTTCTGCGTAGATGAAGTTTTTTCAAGATTCTTAGATTACATACAAATTATTTATAAATTTTTGCGCTCATTAATTGTATATCTTTGAGATTGATGTAACATAAATATGCCAAATAGAAGATTTAATATAATTAGCTTGCAAAATAGATAATATGAACTAAACTGAAATCTAAATTTTTGAGCTTGTTGATTTACGAATTATATATCAAAAATTAAAGATTTTGAATAGTAGATCTAATAACGATATGCGCGAATAATTACGTGTAAAGCGTAAGATTTCTTTGCTTGTTTCAACTCAGAGAAAGTATTTGATTGAGTCATAGGTTCGTTAAGTCTATATTGATGCCAATTATGACTTATCTCGATTTTACAATCGATTTTTTATTTATAATTAGAAATATAAAAATTTTTAAATATTAAATTTTGTGTTAGAGTCGGAAAAGTAAATTTTTTAACGAATAGATCAGAGAACACGTGATAACACTACATTCAGCGGATTAAATCTTGGATATATAATAATTTTCTTTTTTATTGAATTCCAATTATTAAATATGTAATTATAAAATTATTAATCTGCCTCACTGATTTGTTCGATAAAATTAAATATTTTAATTTATACATAAACAAATAATAATTGTAATAAAGTTTCTATTTATTTTTTATCATTTATTTGTCATTTATTTATCATTCACTTGTTATCTCTTTATTTATCTTTAAAGAAAAGGAAGAAAAAGACGAAATCACAGAGAAAATTGCTTTAACAAAATATTTTATTTCTTGCTTTATTTAATACTTTATTTTACCTGAAAAGCTAAAAATTTTTTATTATATATAATTTATATATAATTTATATTATATATAATTTTAATACTATTAATATTATATACTATATTAAAAATGAAAGCAAAAGAGAAATACAAAGTGTCTAATAAGCAAAGAGATTACATAGCTAAAATATAAAATAATATGATAGTATAATAAGATAATATGTTATTATATAATAAATGTAATATAAAGTTACTTCTTATTAAATAAAATAATTATTTTTCGATTGACATTTAATTATTAGGTAAATCATGAGTTATATCGTCGATGTAGTCTTGTTATTTATACATACATTATACAAATACATATCAACATAAGGTTATAGACATTATTAACATAAGGTAATATTGAATATAGTTATGCAAAAGGAAACTTTATAAAATTAGTTTTTGAATAAAAATAATATTTACAACAACACATTTTAGAAAAATAATGCTATTCTGTAATGCTGACTGAAAATAAGGTATTTTCCGTTTACGATACGTA